AATAATCCTGAACTCACAGACTTTCCTTTATGACTCTATTTAAATATATATCATCTACGTAATACTGTAGAAATAAAGTAGAATTTAAAACTTTGATTTTACAACTAGGATCATACACACTGCTGAAGAAACAAAGGTAAAGAACCAAAAAACCCACCCCAGCCCCTACTGCTTTGGGTTGCTCCAACCTGCAGCAATTTGACATCACAGCTCCTGAAGAGAGAATAAGATCAGCTTTCAAAGCAGATAAGGAAATACACTTCTCAGAAAATACATATAGGCTTAAGGTTTGCTTGTTGCATAATCTCCACAGCAATCAAAGAATTACAACTATAACCTAATATAAATTAGGTATTTGAGAACATCATGTTGAGCAAGGCTGAACACTCATTTTAGGAAGAACCTCAAAAAGAAAAACACTCAAACAATTCAGTGAAACTTGGAAATTTTCATGCTTTATGTCGTCGTATGGGACCTTTGATATTTCTACAACCTCTATTGCCTTTAGAAAAGATGGATTTAAACCCTATTCCAGTCTTTTTTCTCCCAGGGCCAACAGTTGAGAAGCAAGAGCTGAAGAAGCTGCTCTAGAAGGACAACCACCCTCTAGCTGTTCCCAAACCATACTGCAACCACCTCAACTGGTGCATAGTTGAGAGCACAAAGTGCTTCCACCTGACCAACCCATTTCAGTTACTAGAGCATGACCAGAACAAGTCCACCCTACACCACTAGTCTCAGCAGTTGAACCCTGGCAGCATCTCTGATCAGGAGAAAGAGGGGAGAAAGACACTTGGACCCTCATGCTGACACCTTCCTGATCACTGGAGCCACAGCTGTTGAGAAGCCTATTCATGGCAAGTAGGGTTTCTTGAGGTTCCTCCTGCCTTCTTTATTTCTGCAAACAGCATGGGAGAAAGCCTGGAGAGCAGATCAGAGAGAATCCCAGGGAGCTGCACTCATGGTCACCCAGGAAAAGCACACAGGACTAAAGCTAGGAAGTCTTCTACAAAGTTCTGTAGCATCTTCTCACTTCTCGGAAAACAGAGAGAGGACATTCCTAGGCAAAGAGAGCTGAGACAGGTTTTTATTTCAACTACAATACAAGAGTAATTCATATCTCTGCTTGATTTTCAAATATCCCTAGCCTTCAGCAATAAACCTGGCCTTCCTTTTTTTTTTTTTCCTCCCCTTGTCCCACTTTGTAGGACAGTGATGAGAGTGGGGATAACACGGACATTAGAGCACCCCATGCCTCAAAGAGCAGACAACCACACATGCCAGCAACATGGAAGGCAAGAAGTAAACACAGCACATAGGCTGGGTAAGGCAATGAAGCCCAAAATACCACTAAGTACCTCAAAAGGACTCCCTTGTCTACTCTCCATCTACAAAGCACTTATTGTATCAAAGAGAAAAGAGACTGAGAGTAACGAGAGACCTAGTATGAAGACCAGAGCATCAGCTCCCAAGCTGTGAGGCAAATCACTTCCAAATGATGCATACTCGGGTACCCAGAAAAGATTAATAGCAAAGGTGAACACCAACAGCAAAGAGCAGCATCCAGTTTAGGGGAAAAAACAGCAGTGACTTAAAGACGCACTCAATCTTTAAGACTCACTTGTTCTTGGAAAGGCTCTACCACAAGCACCAGAAAGCCAGACAATCTCTCTATGGGCTGCTCTGTGTCAGCCATAACTAAAACCAATTAATTTGAGTTTGCACAAATATCACCACAGTAATTTAGCAGTTATAGGGACTTTGGAGATGGAGAAGAAAGAGACACTGAACTGATCAGAAGAAGAAAAAAGAAAAGTTCTTACTTTGAAGCAGCCCCTCTGAGAAACAGTATGATAAAGTCACCAGAAGACTCCAGTTATTTTACACATATGGTTTCCAACCTATCATATACTGGACTTCCAGCTTGGCGTTCTGAAGCATTTAAGATTCACTCATATCTATCAAAACACAATCCTGACTTGGAAAGGGACTCAGAATGGAGCAACCTAGTGTCACTGCAGCCTCTACTAGCTCCACTATCTTCTTCACCTCATTCAAAAACCCCATAAACCAAAGCAGAGGAGGGAGAAAAAAAAAAAAAAAAGGAAGAAAAGACAAGCATGAAAACTCAAAATCCCAAAAAACAACCTCTCAAACCACCCTTCCTCTCTAGCTTAAGCGTAACAGTACCTCAACTTGGCTTCAACTGATCTCAGTGCAAAAGGAATGGAATTAGTCCCTTAAACAGAAACATTACATGTAACCACACCAACAGCTCACTGCAATATCCCCAGAATTTGTGCTTTGGTGCCAAAGTAAACCCTCTTCACCTAAGAAATATTCTATGACTGTAAGAGAACAACTGCAACACTAGATACAAATTGGTTATTGCACAAAATACGGTGTTATTTCCCCTGAACTAAAAAGGGTACGTGATAAAGCAACAGATCTTAAGCAGCCTGAGAGGAATTTTGTTTTATAGGTCTGACACTGTCCATAAGCACATGGACAGCGGGGACTCTCGGCAGCGATGGTGCTTTATGCTTGTTAAGGAGCCTGTAACTCCACAATCAAACACAGGGAACAAACATTTCTATCCCATGCTACTTGTTGGCTACAGCCAAACATGGCCACACTGCAAGCCTTCATAAATGTGTTTTTAGACTGCAATTAAGAGCCTGCAGTTTTTCCACTGGTTTTGAAAAATAAGAGTGTTAAAGGCACGTCAACCTATGGTGAGCCAGGGAAGATTGTAAAAATCATCAGCACAAACACTGCAATAAGGACCCGCGACAGCCGGTACATCCGCTGCTACAGAACAACCCGCCAGGACTCCAATGATTCTGATTCTGTAAACAGAAATACAAATCAAGACTCAAATGCTGATTTCCTATCAAAGAAAGCAATCAAAGCAGAAGTAGCCATTACCTCGAATACTGCAGACTCCATTATCTTTAAAACAGAGATTGTAATTAGTTCCACAAAAGCAAATTTAGCTTTCTTAAATTATTTTGTGCAAATGAATTGCATATACACACCAACACTCACACAGCACTAAAATAACTCTTCAGTACCCACGTTTCTTTAGGCTAAGGCTGAATATATTCATTTAAGTTGAATTCACTTTTCTTTAGGAAAAAGAAAGGATCTTGTTGTACTAAGATTCTGATTTCTAGCAATTCCCATTCGTAAACTTTATCCAGAGGATTAAGATGAGGCTTCTGTAACTTTTGTCCATGAAGCTATGCAGTTACAGCCCCATTACACTCAGTGATAGCACTACTGAAAATACATTTTTCTCAAAACATCAGACTCAAAACTACAGAACTCCTCTTGGAACATTTTGCAAGTACACAGATATATATATATATGGAAACAATTATATATTTATCCACAAAATGTCATAGTCAACATCAAACATTATGTAACGCAGATAAATCATCATTTTTGGCTTTCAAAAACATTCCTCGTATCCCCACTTAATTTGTTTTTTAAAATAAGAACTGCTCTCCAAAGCCATTCAGGAATACACTAATACCTAAGGAACCTTAGTTGGTTATTAGCACGTGTTAAGAGATAATCTAACATTAAGACACGGTTGTCAAAGCATTAAAATTAAGTGCAAGTACCCTAAGAACAAAACTCGATTAACTCATTCTTTTCTAATTCTCACCCTGAACATTCACACCGATGCATAATACCTCTGATTGTCTAAGCCACAGAATGGAGACTAATTAACAGCAATTAAATATATGAAATCCTCTCATGCTAAAATTAATCAGTTACACAGCTTTGGTAACCTAGTGTATAGTTAGCTTTGTGTAAATATTTTGCAAACATCCTTTCCACCCCCCCCAAATCCCTATATACCATGTGTATATTTATATAATAATATACATATTTCCTGAGTAAATCGTTAAATCTGGTTATTTGGAAAGTTTGGCAACCGATCAACTGTAGATTACTAAAATAGAATTTTAAATAAACATTCAATAAACACATTAAAATAAATATGGAATGTTTTTTGAAAATTATAGTACCATGAACTTATTATATTAATAACCATTTTTAAGTGCATACTAAGTTACATAATTACTGTTTTTAACCCACTGAGGAATCACTAAATCTAATTTCTAATCCTGAGTGACAATTTTATATCATCTGCTAATGTGTACTTCAACACAGTAATTACTGAAAACGTACAAACTCCTTAAATTAGTTTTTTTCTTTTTTTTTTTTAAAAACATAAAACATTTTGTTACACAGATTATGCTATAGAAGCTCTTGGTTTACATTAGTTTAGCTGGAAAAGGAGTTGGCAGCACAACTGCTGAAGCATTTCACACAACCACCAATTAAACACTGATTATTCTCCTCAGACTGTTAGTGATTACCTGAATGATCAGACTCCCTGTCACAAAATCAGCACAGAAGAGTGAATTAGTGTGAGTACTGAGTGGCAGGATGCAAGCTATCCAGCGATCACTTTGGCACTACAGAATGGTGCAAAAACAACCAAGAAAACCTCCAACCAAACCAAAACATCCTGAACAACTATGAAAACCTTGCGAATGGATCCCTCTATTTTTTTTTAAGCTATGATAAATTGTATAATTAACAAAGAAAGGAGCATTAAGTTCTGCCACTCACTGGTTTCTCAGGGCATGGCTTCAGTCACAGCTGATACGCAGCTCTGGATAAGCAGACAAGGAAATGCTCAGCTACTGATTAGTTCCTCTTATTAATAAAAATCTTATATAGCAGACATTGCAATACCAGCAATATCAAAATTGCATTAACACTATTACAAGACGTGTGTCTCAACACCAGAGTCACAGTAATAGAATTGCAGCACGGATCAGTTACATTAACCCTTTTTGCTTTTTGATAACCTCTCATAAAATTTCCACAGCACTATGTAAGCCACATCCCCCTTCCCTCCTTACTCAGCCTTCTGCTTCCCTTTTGTTATTATTACTACTTTTTTTTTTTTTGCACTATTATTCCAGAATTCTCATCGATTCCTCAGGTTTTTCTTCTTGGCTTCCTTTGCTTTCGTGCTCCCTGTTGCTTTTTTCTTCTGTGCTTGTGTTTGCAGGACAAAGCTCTTGCAGTGCCCTTTCAACCTCCTGTTTTTCTGGGCTGCTTAAGGAGCTTTTTGGTAAAGTCATCTGTAACGCACACCATAAAGCAGTACGAGCCTTGCGGGTGGAAGCAGCCAGCTCCCTTATGGCAGCTGCCAGAGCCAGAACATCTATAACAGAAACAACCAAAAGGACACATTAAGACTCGTACAGGAAAGTGACTGTTAATATTAATGCATTCAAAGTATTCTGAATTTATTCAAAGATCATCACTCATGTGCAAGATTTGCTCAAGAAAGAGTTGACACTGTACCCTGGCACTGGTTAAAATCCAGTCCCTATCAAAGCCATAGCAGCACACCTTCTCACTAATAATCCTGCACACTGAACAAGGATGCTCACTTTCCAGCAGAGGAAGGAGCCCAGCACAAGCATTAATGATTCCTAACTACCTATTTTTGTGAGTAGTGTCTGCAGAAAAGTTAATTAGTAAAACTCATAGGCTGATTGCAGCCAGATGAGCTTGGTGCAACCATTCCCTCCTCCTTCCACGGCCTTTCAGTGTCTTTGATGACCTGCCTGGCCTTCCAGCAAGAAAAGGTTCACACTGATGTTTCCATGTGTGTTCACTGACAGTGTCAAATAAAAAAAAAAATTTAAAAAAAAAAAAAAAACAAGTTTTTCCTGTGGAAAATAGTTACTGGGAGCTTCTCCATGCGATTTAGATTGTGCTTAGACATCCAAAGGAAGCCCAGCTCTTCTTCAGAGACATAACCTCAGGAGAAATGTCACCCTTGCCCCTAAGAGACTACTTGCAGTATTTCTACTTACAGGAACCTTACAGGAGGGTTCTGATAACCATTCCAAGCATCTTCACTGTACAGTTAAAATGGGTTCATCAAAAAACACGGTTTGTGGGACGTTTCTTTCACTAAGATGACAACTTAATTACTTCTTGGCCTATAGCTGGGCTAATTAGGGTTAATGCAAGAAGGTTATTTGGCTAAAGAACTATTACTTTTAAGTATATAACATAAGTAAGAAGGTGCTTGTCATCTAAATTGGGAAAGCAAAATATTTTGACTTTTTATAAAGTGGTATATGATATTTTATGATATTTTTATACAATTTATCTTTACCTCCTTGCAAGAAAAATCCTACTACATTCCTTCAAGTCAAGAGCACTACACAGTATCAGCCTCACTGCAGCAACAGGAAGGCAAGGACAGAGCTCAGTAAGGATCCAAAACAGGAAAAGAGAAGAAAAAGAGCTTGTTCCTTTCTGGAAACATTTCTGTAAGCATTAAGTCTAGCCTAATGAAAATGACTATGTTCTTAATCTCCAAAACTCTTCATTATATGGAAAGGCAGCAACCACTTACCCTACACTGGCAGAACAGAATGCAACTTGTCTTAGCTTTGCATTAGTTTTGATGAATCAATAAGAGATGAAAATACGTGGAAGACTATTAAGCTGTTACAAATTAAGCAGGTATCTTTCCATTTAATGTAACTTCATAGAATTTTGTCCAACTTCTAAAGAAATGAATGGGCAAAACATGATTTCTTCACCTTTGTATTGCCTGGCTCTTTTCTAGGACTCATTTTCCAATAATTATTTAAAATATATAATGAGCTATAATTTGATGTTTTCATAATAAAAAAGCAGATTTGTGGTAAATATTTAATCTTTTTACAGTTGTGCTAAGTTAAAAAAACACACATATTACATGAATGGTACACAAAAAAGGCTCTTCAGAAGTCTGTACTTGTGCTGCACATCATTCTTGCGATATGCCAACATGAGCTGGAAATCACAAAATCTATTTCTGATTTTTTTTAATTTGGATAAGTAGACACACAGCACAGATTCATACTGCACCAAGCATATCTTTCACATTGTAAGCTATAGAGAAGTGAAACACCAGCCAATTATAACTAATAAAGAAACTAAATTTGTTTTAAAATGAGTATATTTTGACTTGAGAGAATTACTCATGGTTATATAAAAACCTTTCTTAAAAAAAGTTTATTTTTTAGTCAAGAGAAGAAAGTTTAAGTGGTTAAGCTAGTGAGAGAGAAACAGGAAAAAAAATGTGAGACCTTTAACTCTTAAAAAGTTTGACTCCCACTTTAACAAGTTTAGATATCTAACTTGTTTGCTGATGAAGGGGTTTGCTACACATTTCAAATTGTGCATTTTTACAGTTGCCATTTGTATTGATATTCAGAGCTGAAGGAACAGCAGACTTTTACCTTTTTCATTGCTGTAACGTGGTCCTCCTTGTCTCTGTGGATTAGCAGCATTAACAATCTCATCCTTACGCCTCGCTTGTGTGACATGAATGGCCTCCAAATGATGTTCCAAAGTAGCAGATATGTTCCCGTGCACCGGGGTGCCACGAAGCCTTTCCATTTTTCCTATTAAGGTCAATACCTACCAGACACACCAAAAAACACACCAAAAAATCACTAGGTGCATGATAACCTTCCATAAAAAAAATATATATATGTAATCACCTGGTATTACAAATCAAAGACAATAAATATTTCAAGATAACTTACTCTGGCTTGCTCTCGTAACTGGTCCACAATCAAGCGATCCACTCGGGATGGGTTGGCAGGGAGTCGGGACACAGGAGTGTTATTGGAGCTGGACACACGCTTTCCTGGGAAGTTTCTTGCAAGGTCAGCCTCAGTCTGAAGAGAAAATAGATGACTCTTAAATCTGAGAAATTAGTACTATATTACAGGCTACAATTTGGGGTGGGGGCTTCAAATACACGAGGCGGGGGCTTGCTAGATTTTCTTCTAACTGTATTTACAAAAAAAGGCCCCAAACACCTTTATCCAGATGTACAGCCAGCTGCTGTAAGAACATGAAGAATTCCCTAATTCAGTTGTACCTCACAGCAAGATGTTCAAAAGCTAACATTTAGAGCCAAAGCGCACAACTATATATTTAAGTATTTTAATCAAGTCTTGGACACTGACACAGGCAAGAAATTCTTGTGTTGTATTCCATGAATACCTCTCACTGCACCTCTTGAATATCTCTTATCATGACTATAAACACAAGAAATTATTGACCATACTAGCATAAGTTGTTTCTCAAGTGCATCAGCATTAAATCCATTTTAAATGCTAGTATCAGTTCTGAAAAAGTCATACTTAATATAGCTGAGCTACTAAGAAAAGAGTTGGCTAAACCACTATACAATGCAGACAGTGACTAAGCACAGCTAAACCTCTTTTTGGACAGAAACCTGTTATACTTGTTACATAAAATTAATAGTGGTTTTCTATCTTGCTCTGCCTTTCCACCTTCCGTGCCCAGTGGAGAAGTGCAGGGCTCTGGCATTTGTACTGGAAAAACAGAACAAACTAGAGCAAACAAAGGTTAAACAGATACTGGCAAATAAAAAAGCATTTTTCATATAGAAATTGCACTTTGAAAGTATGACCTAAAGGCATCAATAAGGAAGAAGAGAGGCAATTTTTATATTCTATTTAGATCTCCAAAAGGTTAATAACAAGGTCTCAGCGTAAAGTGCTGATGCTGATGCTGAAAGGAGAAGTTGCTATTCAGAGAGCCAGTTTGGTCAGACACAAGACAAGGAGCTTCCCCACCACAGTGAGACAGAGAAGCGTTCAGACAGTGTAAAACAGGACTGTGAATCACGACGAAAGAAATGCTGCTAGCAGTGCTACCCCTCTGGAAAGACATCAGAAACTGAATCCCAAAGTCACATTCATGACTTAAAAGCAGTTGTACCAAACAATCCATATGTTGTCTTCAAAACGGATTCTTTAAACATTTTAAACTCATTTAACACAGTAGAAATTTTTGCTTCTCGAAAAGAAGCGACAGACCAGAACACCCATTTTCTATAGCTGCTTTTTGCAATCATGACCTTAGATTAAAAGAAACAACCAAAACAAAAACTGTGAGTGATGTTTTACCTTTTTTCTTTCTTTCTCCAAAGCTCTCCACTGCTCGTAACACTCCTCCAGTCGAGTATGAAGCTCATTAGCAGGTCCACTGCGATTTCTGGGAGGTCTATATTTGTTAAATGGTGTTGGAAAGGCAAAGTATGGTGCAGTTATTTCCCCACAAAAGAGATCACTGATGAAGGGATTCAACTGGTTAAAATCATCATAGTGAAAAAGGTCAACCAGGTCCGAGAATGGAAACGGAGAAGGAGGAAAATTGAAATTATTTGCTGAGGAAAACAGATGGTGATTAAATGGAGGAAAGTTGGGATTTTGCTTAAAATCAGACATTAATGGGAAAGGAGGAAGAAAAGAAGGACTGATGAAATCTGACACGCTGTCACCATTCTGCTCTTGCTTTTTTTGAAACATGCTGAAGGGCTGGCGATTTGGAGCTGTATACCCAAAATGAGGGATCCAGTTCCTTCTGCTTCTTCTATCATCTTTATTACTATTCTCCTGGGTTGGCTTTTTCTGAAATCTAGGGTACTTGTCACAGTCTTCACTAACAGAGTTCTGCTGCCTTAACCAGCCAGAGGAAAAATTAACAGGAAATTTACGGTATTGTCCCTCCTTATTAGTCAAGGAATTGTGGTGTGAGCGTCCAAGGGCCTTCATTTGTGTCTGGTTTTCTGCGATGAAATTAGAAACACCCAAATTATTAGAAACACCATTGGATGCCTGTAGCCTTCCATCTTTCCTTGCAGAAAGGGCAGGTGAGATCTGTGAGTAATAAGAGGGCTGTGTTATAGACTGATGCGTGGGGGAGCCGCCAGACATGGTTGAAACCCCTGAAGATGACTGGGGGCTTGTTAGGACGTGTTTTCCACAAGTGATATCTGATGCAGCTGTGGGACATGACATTTTCCCATCCAGCCATGGATGTCCGTGGAATGATGAGTAGCTCCCATTTTGTACAGCGCTTTTTACAGATGAATCATATTCAGAAATTTTATGCAATAATTCTTTAGGATTAATACGGATCTTACATTCATTATTATTAAAAGCATCCCCCAAAGTAAAGACATTATGACCATTTTGCATATGGGTTTCCTGTGGTTTTCCGTTTGCGCCTCCAGAAAAATGATTTTCTTTAGGTGGCTGATTGAAAAAATACAGAGATGACTGTGATTTATGAGCAGCTGTAAAGTTTTCATATCTCCTAGAAATCAAGTGGTTGTCCTGTGATACTTGGTCCCAAGAGTCATCAACAGGTTGGTTAGACAGCTCGGGGGAATACTTTGCTTGTTCTTGTGTATCATTTTTCACAATTTTGCCTCTGGATCTTTCAGTTTTCCAAAATTCTTTCTGAAAGATAGTGCCCTCTTTAATCCTGTTTTGAGAAAAGGTGCTAAAATTGGAATTGACTTTTTCACAGTCTCTGTTTAACCCCATGTCATAATTACACACGTGCTGGTTATAGTCCACATTCTGCAGTGAAAACCCTTCTTGCTGAAATACAGTATTATTTTGGAAAGAGGAATTTTCAGGGTAGATGTTCCTCAAGAAATTAATATTATCAGGCTGAGCGTAAGAGTCAGAGGGAGAAAGCCAAGACTCTATGAGATGAAGATCTTCAAATCCTCTGTGTAACATCTCCACATCATGTGGCTTCTGCAAATGGTCCTGATAGTTGCTCTGCGTGCCAATCACGTTTGAAAAATCCTTACTTTCAACAGAGTGCTTAGATGAAAACCCTGAGAATTCACCACTGTTTCCAAGATCGGGTGCCCACACAGGTGGAAATAATCTCGAGAGAGAATTCCTGGAATAAAATTAGATACACCTTCAGGAATCACTGAACACATTTCTTACACCGCAGCAGCTCATATTTCAGGGTTATTTTCCCCCCTCCTAGGTGTTTAAGCATCTTACATATTTTTGGATTAACATATATTGATCTGTTGCAAAATTTTAAGGGAAAACAAACTGCTGCAATGAATAAATGCTCTAATAGAGTAACTAAAAATCTCACTAATATTAATCATTTTGGCTACTACGATCTTAAACTTTCTTATACTTTCATGTGCAAAAGAAAGATGTAGTGTACTAGAATGTATTTGCATAGTCTCCCTTATCACATTTCAGCAGTGTTGCATAGATTGAAATTAGGAAGGCAGAACACAAGCCAATTGATCTTACATTATATAAAGCATGTAAAGCAACCTCACCCTTGGCTCGATCATGTTTAGAGGCTAAAGAGGTAGGAGACAGACACATTAACCCTTATTAATAGTTTAGTTTGGATCATGCTCTTAAGTTTTATTTTTAGGATATATATTTTATTTCCATGCTTAATAAACTTACGAAAAAGGCAGCTAAAATATTACAAGCAAAACTCTGTGTGGGGCAAAATCATAACCTACAAGCTGTTATACAGGACTCTGTTGTACCCAAGGTGATAATTCCTACAGCAATCAAGCAGTGTCAGTTCCAGGACTGTTTATAATATTTCTATACAAAACCGCAGAGTTGATTTGTATTCATTAAGGATTCTAAGTTCAATTCTACTCACAATTAACTCTCCATCGTTTATTTTAAAGGGAACTTTCTCAAATGCTGTAGACTGATGAAATACTATACTGCTAGTGAAATACTATACTATAGTGCTAGTTAAAGAAAAACTTCACCATTTTAAAGGATTTTAACTTAATTTTAACTTTAAATTTCACCCTTTGTCACTCAATTCCAAGAAGTCATGCAGAATGCATATCATACATTAGTAACAAAAAGATATAGTAAGAGAAGTGATAAGCACATATGAGAACTTTAAGAATAAGCTTACCAATCTGTAACTGGTTCTGGCTTGTTTGGTTCCTCTAAAATACTTGTCACCAATCCAAACATATCAGGGCCATTGCCAGAATATGAGAGATTTATCTGTGCCCTGAAAAAAATAAAACATCTAGATAAGAGTTTACAAAACAGACAGAAATAGTGTAGCATGAATTTAGCTTTCATTTATTATACGAGTATCTGTTACAAATGTTCTGCATTTAAGGTACTTGCACTACCCATTCACTGAGAGTTCTTCCTGCAACGTTTATTTTATAGCCTAAAACAGGTGGAAGAATTTTATCATTTCCTATTTTCTTACCTTCTTGCTTCACTGGAGAGGTCTCTAGCTACTCTATGAAGAGGTGCTATGAAAAAAATCTTCTCTAAATCTTAAAGACTGATTTATTCCATTTTGATACTGAAGATTAAAATAATCTTTAAAAAAGTTATCTTATTTAAATATACTTAAATGATATTAAGATTAATTGAATCAATTTCATCTGCTTTTTTTCAAAAGCAATTGGTCACGACTGCATTAAATATTCCAGATAAACTCTGAAGACATTCAACCACTGCTTTTCTTATGCAACCCCAACTTTTGTCTTTTATTTCAGTTTTAAGATGTGATATTTATGGCATTGTTTACAAATAAATGTAGAACTGGTACTAGACAATTAGATCTTCTGCTGTTTGAGACAGAGCTCTCTTTTTATGAGCAAGCCCTACATTTATTTTGGTTGTGTGTGCGCGCGTGTGCAACCAGCTGGAGATTTTAAGTGGCAGTTACACACAGAAGATCATCACTGAGAAAGTAACCAGAGTCAATTGATAAAGTAGTATGAGAAAAATATAATGCAAAAAAAAAATTGCTGACCATTTTAGAACTGTGGACAGGGCAGTAGCAGGAAGCTGGATGCAATGCAGACTTAAACCTTGCTAAGAAGGCTAAGAGAAGCCACCCCCCCAGCGAAACCTTTTTCTCCAGGCAAGCAGCAGCTCCAACACAGGGCTAGAAACACCCCCTTGTGTCTCATTCAAGTACTTTTCACTACCAGCAATATGAAAAGTCTTGGCACTGTAACATATCAAGGAATATTTTATAATTCTAAAAATCCCAGTGAAGTAATCCTGGTGACTAAATGAGAATTTATGAAAATTTATGAAATCAATGAGAATTAAAAGGAGAAAAGCTAGAACAAAGTAACACTTTCCTACATGTAACACAGTTAGACAGCAAACAATACTATGAGGGGAAAAAACAGCAACGTCAATACTGCACGCCTGCATTCTCAGTGTGAGCATTCACATGGGTTACCATTACATATTTGTTTAGCTCTCAATCACTTTTATACAGCTACTCTGTATCTACTATCTTACAATAACCTAGGGGCTGCTTTTAGGAAGAGACTATTTTATTAGCAGCTTGCCATTCTAAGATTAAGCTTAGCACTTAACAGTTTCTAAGCTTAGCACTTAACAGCTACTAATAGCAAAAAAACATTCAAAAGAATTCTTCCCTTTCAACTCTTATGAACCAGTGGACTTCCTTTTCTCAGCACCCTAAACTTCCTGTCTTATTAGGTAACCAATAAAAAACAGTTTGACATTAGAAATGACCTAGAAATAATGTAATGACGTAGTAAAGTCAATGTAGGTATCAAGTGTCAAGAACTACTGTGGCAGTCGGCATCAATCAATGCAATCAATTCTCTCAAGTAAGAGAATGTTTTTACTCGCCAGTAAGATTAAGATATTAAGTTGAAAAAAAAAAAAAAAAAAGCAAGCAGGAGGCCTAACACTAAATTGTTTACACATTTCTAAAGCTGGAAGAGTTTTAACATTATTTCAATTCCTGTACATAAACCTTAAAATGATCAATATCAGAGTGAGAGCGCCCAATCACTTTATTTATTCTGTACTAACATGCAAACTTTCAAACCTCTGTCCAGCTTTGTTGCCCTTCCCTACCCCTTTTATAATTTCATTATGTTATTAAGATCGGATGATCAGAAATAGTTGCAACATTCAAGACTTTCTGGAGTGTAACAGAAGTGTTCTGGTTTGGTCTTAACTTTGTTGACAAATCTCAAGAATATATTTGCTTTTCTGGCAAATAGTAAACCCTGAAATGATCTCTCCAAAGGTCTATCATGGAGGACTCCATGAGAAGGCCAAGGCAAGGCTGAAAGGAAAAAATAACCTGGGTCTTAAGGTTGGGAATCCAGGTAAAATGAAAACATAAGCCAATTATGATTTAAAGAGAACAGCCAAAGTGATCCTCCTTTCTATATGGAACATTCCAAAGTTCTAGTTACAGGGAAAATATATATATATATTTTTTACCTCAGAAAAAAAAATGTTCTCCACAAATAAAGATAATATTCCCCCAAAAAAGGGTTGTTTACTGGACTACATAAATCACTTAGAGAACTAGCTATTTTTAGTTCAAACAACTTCACTTACATACTTGTAATGCACGATTCAAGTAACAAGGGCCCTTTGAATTCTTTAAGCTTTTGAAAACATGAAGCTTCTTCTCCTACTTGAGAGCATTATGTCAAGAGCATTATGTCGAGGGCTGGATATTATAGAAACCTGATGCACTTTCAAGAGTAGCTGTATACATATTTATGCTCTTAGTAGCAAATAGCTACCCACTCACATCTGTCCTATGTCTAACACACTGTATTTATTACTGATGTTCCAGGAAATACTCAGTGTCACCAAGCAGGATCCAGAAGTTCTATAGTACTGAGGAGTGGGAGGTAGGGAAGAAGGGAGGTCCTTTTAAAGCAGTGTCCAACTACATATGACTGGTTCCCATTTCATTCCCTAAAAATAACATTCTTATCCAATTTTAAATCTACATATGTATGCATATACACATTTTTCAGTTCTATACATATATCTAAAGAAACCTACACATACTTCTTATTTTATACAAGCGCCATTATAAATTATCTTTATTGTATAATGCTCATTGAGTTTCCAGCAAAGTAATTAATGCATAACTTCCTCCTGAAGAGACTTGGAATCCCACTTGTGCTGCGCAGTAATAATTTCAGTTTTCTAAAATATCCCCTAAGATTACGGCAAGAAAGTTCATACCTTTTTTTTGTGCAGTCTTGAAAGGAAGTTTTTGTGCTGATATCGTCTCCACATGCAGCCCAGTCACTATACAGACGTGAAGATTCCACAGGAGGTGGAGTGTTAGTAATCGTTCCTAATAACGGGGAGAATAATTGAGTGTCCATTTTCTGCTCCTTGCTATCTACCTATGTTGAAAAAAGGGAAGAAAAATTAAATGTTAGATTTTATGTAAATAAGCAGTAAAGTCAATGTACAACCTTCCTTTCATATCTTGATCTAAATGATTCCTCGTGAAAATGAAATGTATACCAATTAAGTGGATATTACACAGGATACAACCTAAAACTTACTCTCTTCTTTGGTCTTGGAAATTTATTGATATACTGAAAAATCACTATGAAAACATAGAAATTATTTCACAGTATAGTTATTTGTGTCTCAAATTCACAAGCTTAGACTCTTCCAGCCTGTATTACCAAAATGCAGGCACACGGATCTCTTTGGAGAAAAGAAAGAGGAGGGCAATTACTCCTGCTCCATTGCTGAACACAGCAAATATCCCAGCAAAGAGCTCAATGTAAGCAGGGAGGAACATTTATTTGCAAATTCTAGAGAGTAAAATCCACTTAAGTAAACTCTCCTCACTTTAAGGTTTGTTTCAGAAAACACATTAAAATTAAACTTTTAACAATCACCATTCAGGAAATGAGCAACAGGAGACCTAAGTAACAATGAAGCACTCTACCTAATTAAGCACCAGCAAGGAGCTGCCTCAACAGCAGCTGTTTTATATAAAGGTTTAGGCAAAATGAGAAACATAGAAGCTGAAAGGAACCTTCTTTGGAACCCCTAAGTTTAGATCACTTAAATCTGCTTGAATCTCACCCAAACGATACAAATACTCGCAAGAAAGCTTGAGGCTTTTATTCAGAGTTGTGACTTGCAAACGTCAGAGAACTCAGCTGGTAGGAAGGCTGGTAAGCAATACAGAAAGACTGTAATCACTGCAGGAAATTCAGATGATAAAACCATTCTGTGCTTTGCTGAAAAAAATGAAACTTTCACTCACAACTACTCCTGAAATATAACGATGTCTATTAGGCAAAGGCAGAATTATGGACGTATGAAAAATTAAGCCAGATTTTTACCAAAGTTCTTGCAGAGATTTGAACTAGAATTTGAACTACAACTCCCAGCCTCCTCAGATGAGCTGGCATGACAAGGTATTTGACTGGTATCTTTATGGCATAAACATACACAGTCACTAGGGGATTAATGCAGCCCGAATCCTGTTTTCCACTTCTTCCTATCCTGGGCACCACTGTGTTGTACACCTCTTTCTGAAAAAAGAGAATACACTGAAGGTTTATCAGTTTCTATAAACTTGCCTTACACATCCATACACATCTCTACCAAATAACATAAATTAAGGTGATATAACCAAGGCTGGACACACGTTTCACAACATTCAGTAAGGGCTGAGTAAGAGCATGTCTATCAGTAAATAAATACAAATGCTTCTTTGCTTGGTGGCTGAAAGTCTCATAGTGCATGTGTGATACAGCTAAACTTTTACCCCTTCAGATGAAGGGGGCAGTATCCAAACCAGCTACTCCAAATGCCTCCTCACTTGTGGTGACTCCTGAACCACATGCAGGAACTGTTTAGGAAAGCATTAGCAAGGCCAAAACTGTATTAACAGCTTAGCAACATCAACAATCACACGCCTGTGCCTTGGGCTTGTTTAGTCTATTGGAAATCAACACATACGTTATGATCCATAGCTAAAATATAAAATATTTCTGCATAGCTTAAAAATAGAAGCTGTTTTTAGTGGATTATCTTTTATTTTCAGAGCCATTAGTCACTGCTAATGTGAGGTGTGCAGGACAATGTGACTAAAGCTCAGCAGAGGAGGTATTTCATGTACCCTAGATACAGCCTCATCAGTCAGCACTTCCAAAACTGTGCAGACTCATTCTAGCTAGTTAAGATAAACCTGAGAAACTCATCTGGGCTTTAAATATGAACTAGTAACAAGGTACAGTAAAAGAGATAAGACATTATTCCATCTTTTAGAGTGGTAACTTTAATTTCAAAACTCTTCATTGAATTTCAGGTACAGCAATAACCTGAACAACTGGCTTTGCAAAGAAAGGACTGTCTGCAGAAGAGCAGACAGGCTTCAGTCAGAACTCTAACTTTAAATGAATGAACAAAATGCTCTCAAAATAAAGCGACAGCTCTCTCAGTGTTCTTACTTCACTCTTCCCTCACAAAGAGGCAATATCCTCACTGAATTACCTCTCTTAAGCATCAACAACAAATACTTATTGTAGCTAAAAACCTAGACACATCACCTTAGTGGACTTCCCCCTACCCTCTCAAAAAAAAAAAAAAAAACACACAGCAAGATGCAGTTTCTGTTAGTTCTCGTCAAATGGAAAATGTGAATGTGCTAAATTCTCTCCCTGCAAACATACCTGACTACACATCTACATATTTCTTTGAGGCATCTATCACTCTTAAATCACATTGAATCTTCAAATGCACATAGAGGAGCTTTCAACTTTTGCAGAAAGTTCTTTACAGTGAGGTGTGAACATAAACTTAAGTATTTATCAAACACATTCATCACTTCCAAAAGCCCCATCCTGCTCGTCACATTCAGAAGTACTTCTAAAGTTCCTTTTATTTGTGAATAAACAAACCAGCAGAACTCTGCCAGTGAAACTGTATCAATTCAGCTGTAAATACATATGAAATTAAACAGTACTGAAGTTATTAGTCATTGATATTATTAGGGCATCTGTGATGTAAGTCCTGTACCCCACTGTGTACTGCTAATACTGACCCACAGCTGGCCCACTTTTGCCACCCAGCCTTTTTGCACCTCCTTCACCCTTCTTCCTAAAGATCTGCTGTTAACCCCTGCATGGCCTCACTGCTGCAGCAGCAAGAACAAGGCGGGTTGTTGTTCCTGTATTTTTCTTCCTGCTGTCGTGTCCTTCCACCTCAAAGTGCCAAGCCAACACAGCTGCATGTATGCAGTCTGGTAGATTATTCTCCTTGATAAACAGGTACACACACAAAAAAAGAGATTTCCAGTGCAAAATTTTCTCCAGATTTTTTACAGGTTGTTATTTTGCACATTTAGTTAGAATAAGCACTAAAGTTAAAAAGGATAAGGAAGAACTTGCAGTAAAAGTAAAAAAACATAAAAGTATTGATTCCTGTTTACCTACGTGAACACTTTTTTGGACTCACCTGTGGCTTGTAATGACCAAGTGCAGCACTTTGTTTGACCATGTCCTTGTTACCAGTATACGAGGTTTCCTCTCTGAAGTATGCAGCATAGCCATATGGACAGCAGTTTAGGCTCTTAAACACAGACTTAGCCTAATTTAGAAAAAAAAAAAAAAAAGAAAGAAGAAAAAAAATAAAAGCAACAATTACCAGGAGTTTAACTTATTATGTATGAAACTCATTTCTAGCTACCCCTTACCGCTCCTCCCACCTCCTTTCCACGTCACACCACCCACAACTGTGCCAATACCACCTACATCTCCCCCGTTTACCGAACAGCGACGGTGTTTCTGTATCGCTGCAAGATCCCACATGACAGAGCAGCTCGTCTGATACCAGCTCTGCTGACCACGGGTCACACGAAGTCCCGGAACGGGATCGTGCCGGCAGGGGCAATAACAGCCCCCTCTCTGTGGCTTTGTCCCATCACACGTGGAGATGGATATATCGTGTGGCTGCACATCTGCCACAGCGTGATGACACTCCAGGGCACATATCCACGCAGAACGGAACATCCATCCCCGTTACGTGACCAGACAAACAAGTACTATGGCTCACACAAGCTTAAGGGCTCTTCTGCGTCTTCATGAGCTTGTAACTTATGCCAACAGCAAAGACAAAGTAATTCCTGACATGCAATGATATCCAAAAACAGCTGTGAAAAAAAGCACGTTCCTGGGAGCACCCAAACCAAGTAAAACGTGCCGACTCTGCAAATCCTTTTCTATGCTCTCTGGACATGCATTTACATGTGTTACAACCATATACGCTTCCCTTAATGAAGGAGGGATTATCAAATCAGCAGTGCCTAGTGCCATGCCTGCAGGCTGCACGTGGGACACCTCTCCAACCTCACTGACGCTGTGTGTCACAACAGAACGTGGCCACCAGCAGCAAGTCCATGCGCTACATGAACACAAAATTTCGTGGTTTTATTTGCTGGAAATTCGGTGAAAGGCCCATGTGGTTATTGGGATATTTTTGGGAAGCACCACGCTCACCACTCGTGCACTAACCGGTCTTCCAAGCACGTGTAACGCACCAAGCTTCTAGCAAGGGAGGAGCTGCTAATTTTACTGTATAGTTTCCTCTCAGAACCTGCAATATTTCTATACCATGCAACATTATTCCTTCAGGCCAGATGCCTTTACAGAGCTTTTAACTACTTGTGATTTATTAGCTGCTCTTCCATGGGGCAGACTGAATGAAACACAATTAGCTAATCACTGAATCAGCAACAGAGTAACACTGGGTACTTTAAGGACTTTGCAAATTAAGAAGAAGATTGCACAAAGTGTTAGTGGGAATTGAAACCCCAAACACCACTCCATTTATACCTTGGAATAGGAATTGAATGGATAGTGCTTCAAATCATGGGAAATGTTCAAAGCAACACAGATGCTATGCTTGGCTTCACACAACCTATGCGAGTGTCCAAATGTAACTTAAAGTTTAGATAGCTGCTTAGGAAAGATAAGAGGGCTACCTCTGTTCTCTAGCCAATATGCCCTGTTTCAGAGAAGAAAAACTGATTTTTGGTGATAACTTTCCACGAGCTATTACTTAGCTTTTAGGGACTGATATAAACTCAAGCTTATTGCCCTCCTGGTAAGTAATTAATTCCTAGAAAAGCCTTTGGGATAGCTTAAGCACATGAGGTGCTACGTTACAGCACTGGTAGAAGCAAATGCTTTAGTTAAAGAAACACTGCCAGCTTGAGTCTTGTTAAATTGTCAGAGTTAAAACAAGCAAAAAAGTCACTCCCTGAGGATTTTTCAGTATCATGGCCTGAATTTTTCTAACTGATCTAAAAAGCTCAAGCAAAAAGAGCAATGGCAACAAGAGCAACACAAGGAAGCAGAACCAGCAGGACATGAACCTGCTTCCCAGGCATTCATGGCCTATCCCAAGCTGATCCCAACAGCAGCCCTTTCCATAGCACATTCCACAGAGGCTTCACCAGCCTCTCCGCTTGCTCCCAATTCATCCATCCTCTAAGGGAACATTGTGCAGTTCACACTGAACCATTAACTCATATTAAGGCCTTTCTCCACTTTTACGGCATTTAAAGAAATTTATTTTTGCTGAGACATCGGTATCTCCTCCTCCAGTAGATGGGTTTTGTTTATAAGACATCATAAGGAGTACTCCCCAACTTAAAAAGAAAAAATAAGCAAACAACAACAACAAAAACACCTTCATGAAACAGTGCCATGAAGTGACCAATTTTAAGAACAATGACCAACTTGGTTGCAAAAGGCTGTTATCCAAAAGTTCAAATTTGGAATTAATAATGAAAAGTTTTACTTATGTGGGGAAAAACAACCAGTTTAACACATTTATCTCTAAACAGCCTCCAAAAATCAAACTACTCTGAGTAGGCAAAGCCATGTTTATGTATTTGAATAGCCGGTTTCATAGTCACTGCAGGCTTCAAGGAGATACAACAGAACTGCCTGTTTGCTGCCTGTGCCATCCACCTTGGAGTAATATGTCACATCCCCACTATCTCCTGGTGGAACAGGAAAAACACCAGGAACATCACATAAACTCAACCTGAGTTTTTGAATTTAACTTCTGCTCACTTTAGAAAGTCAAATAGTCAGAAGGAAGTTTAAGTGCAGCCACAATTTTTAAGTTACATCATTTCAAATAATATTTGAATCCTATTCTTAAGAAATACTTATCAGTAAACCTTTTATTTTGGAAATATAAAGTTCCAGCTGGTGACTAACTAAATAGTCCATCTATCAAATCTGGAAAAAATATCTAGTACAATTTAAACTCCACTTTAAAAAAGGCAATCTTCCAAATGTATTTTAAAGTTGTTTTTAAACAAACTTAAAAGTGATTAAATTGCTAGTTAATGTGTCAAAATAAACTAGTTAAAGTTAGAAATCAAGTAAACAGATTTATAATCTGTACCAAGATCCCTGTATATACACACACTGTATGTCATTACACAGAGATTTTATCTTATTATATAGCAATTCAGTCTTATTTTCATTAGCCTGCTTTGATCAGATAGAAAGCTACTTTCCCCACTTGACCACTTCCTCAGTTTGTGAAATGCAAGTAACAGAGGTCTCAGATTGCAGACTTATGTAAATACTGCCACGATACCATTTAACAGATCTCAACTGCAGAATACAGAAAGAAAGGGGGAACTATTACCTGGCTGCAAAGTCATTAAATTCCTCAGAGTAGGGATGAGAGCAAGTATGCCCAAGTTTCCTAACCTCTCCCTGTTGTCTCTAAGGGAAGGCTCTGGTGGCGAGTGCCAAGGCACACTTGTGTTTGGAGAATCGTGTTTGTCAGGCATTCATAGCACAACAATCATTTGAAAATCAATGAATTCCGCACACAACCTCATCTCCCCCTGCAAGAGCCAACTTCCACGCGAGACAAACCTGCGCTGCCTGTGCCACCAGCCATCCCCTGTGTGCAGCCCTTGCACCCACACAGGCCACCGAGGAAGCAGCTGATCCCGCTGCTTCCGAGCGCGGCGGTGTCGTCGTCCCGGTGCTACGACCGGACTTCGCTTCCCTCCCCTAACGTTGCTGCCGTGGGACGCCCTCAGTTACTCTGTGCACACAGAAACTGTTGCCAGGCTCTGGACGGCGTCTCTACTCCACCCATTGGAGCTGCAGGACAAACACAGCAGAAAACAGGCAGATTTGGGGGCCGAGGGGAAGGAGAAGGCCCCTCCAGATAAGCTAGCAGCACTGGCATTAAGCAATTACTCCACACGGCTTTTCCTAGACGGAGGAGTCTCCAAGCAGAACTAAGAGAAGCAGCACAAATCGCTTGCCCTGAAATGTCACCTCTTGTTTTCTTCAGGCACTCTCCCCTTGAAATACCTCTGCAGCAACTGCAAACCTCCCCATCGAGCAAAGACTCCACACTGCCAAAGGCCCTGCACAAAAGTGAAAGAAACACCGAGCTTACATTTGTGGTCTTCTTGCTTTACAACCAGTCTCAGCCATGTAACGTCTGATGTCACTGGAGTGCCAGTATGTGGAAGCACTCTGGGAATTGTAGTTTTTCCTCGGTTGTGCAATAGCTGCGCAGTGCAGGACTCCGGGACTGCAGCTGCGGGGAATTCCAAACAGCCTTCTCAGTACAGAGACAGCCAGAGAAATACGTCTTAAATAATTTACCCAGGAGCTATTCCTCAGATTGGAAAGAAAAATGTACTGCAGGCTCCGAAATGCAGCTTTTATTTCCCATAGAAAAATGGGAATGTGTCTGTGAATGCCAATGAGGTGCATTCGCATCCTATTTAAATATACAAGAGTTGCTATAAAAAGTTTGTTGTCCCTCCAGGGTTTTGGTGTTTGCACACAAAAGTAGCTCGCTGGGATATATGTTTTGTCAGCAGTCCTGATGGACCTGCCATTTCTGGTCCTATCTTCACCACTGCACACCATCATCTGCCTCACCTTAGCTAGGTACCAATGACAGACTCACACAATTTGGGAAGTCTAGCCCTAGCACTCCTGTAAGAAGAATTAAAAATAAAGGTTATTTTACTTACAGGCTGCCTTGCTAATATTAGTATGCACACACTGCACCTGACTTGATTTCTCCCTGTTAACAGTCATAGTTATATACTATCACCTTTTACACATTTTTCCGATAATAAAGCCATAATTTTCCCACAGTACTTTGCCTTGTTAATTCAGAGTGAACACTGAACCTTCTCTCACATTACTATTCTCTTTTAAGCATAAATATATATAATATATGTATAATTAAGCAAATTAATAGGCCCACAGAGATAGTGGAACTGTTTTGATCTTTATGAAGAGACCAACGTAAAAACAACTCACTTGCCAAAACAGATATAATAAAACATATGTAAAGTAGCACCCCAAAAACATTATTTCAGTGTCCCCATATTGCTTTTCTGACACAGCATTAAATGGGAAAAATGAGGTCCCGCATCCCTAAAAAATCTCAGCCGTTGTTTACAGGATTCTCCCTTCGGTTACTCTCCAGATGAAGCTGTAAAGCTACATCCCACCAAAATACAGGAACTCTGTATAGGGCAGTTACGTTGTCATCCCCATGGATGACAGAGTCCTCCTTTCCCCTTTGGACGGGCTGTAGCAGACACGGCCCCGTTTGTTAGCAATAGCCTATTTGCACCAACGCACACAACAAAGCAGGTTGTGCTCAAGGGCTTAAAGAATCCTGACCTCAAACCATGCCCTGCCTAGAAATCAAACAGAAAAAGCCCAAACCTTTCCAGCACACATAGTACTGAAAAACAGGCACTAATTTTAGTAACACAGAGAGGTACTAATAGCCATAAAGGAAGTCTAAAAGCAGAATTTTGTAATTTTTTGACATGGACAAGAGGGAGGAAGGAGAAAATCCAGGCATAAGCCAACGTAAAACACAGTTTAGGCATGAATTATTCCCCCTAGCTTGAGAACAGCATGTTCTTGAGAACAGAAAGTGTTTTCTGGAGACCGCCGCCTAATAACACTAAAAAGACACCAAGCTTTTCAGCAAAACACTGACAGACAAATCACCAACGCGCTCAAACCACTACCAAAGCTACAAATACCCATTAGGACTCTTTTAAATGAAAAAATCTGCTAACTTTATTTAAATAATCTCAATAATACACAAGAAGATGGTCAGACACAACCTCCTAGGACAAATCTGGCCACTGCACTGTCAATTCATTCCACCAAAGGTACATTTAAAATAAGGGGATTGCAGTGGTTTTAGTAACGTGGTAGAACACGTGCTGTAGGCTGAAGTACTAGCACTCCCTTTCCTCAATTCCTTACCCCTCATAGTAAAAAGCAAATAAAAAGTTGTCTTTTATGGTCCTCTTACAACAACAGGTATTTAAAATATTTTTTAAAAGGAAATCAGTTTCCACAAACAAAATTAAGGAAAAACAAACGATTAAATACTAATTTCTTCCTCCTGAAAACCAACTGTTTCAACATATTCCCACTTAACAGCCTCAAAAAGCAATTCCTTGTCTTATCCTCTCGGGATTTCAGCTTGCAGTACCTGCTCACTTCACAGCTCTTTTCTGTAATCTTTCTCTTCAGAAATACAACTTTTTTGTGTGTGTATGAAGTGCTGGCGACTCTGGCAAGGTGCATAGGACAAGGGAAATGGGAAAAAACACGAGTAATAAAAAATCCCCCAGCACCCTCCCCAAAGCAGATATTCGCAGAAAAGCTCTTTATTTACATGGTTTTGATCAACTCCAGCTGCCGAGGGCTCCCCCTCGCCCCGAGGGACCCGATCGCCATAAACCTGGCCTCGGCGGGCAAATGGGAAAACCAGGAGCTTGCCTTTTGCGGTGTTTGTGCCTTTAGCGGAGGTGCTAAAGAAAGCTCCCTAAGGCAACAGCTGGGAGGACAGGGCACTTATTTTCAGTGATGCACACAGTAACCGTGAGGGTCATAGCCTGGGCTGTTGTTCTTAAAAGTTAAGAAATATTGGAATTAAAGTACCCCACGTGGCTCTAATTCACTTCTGTTGCACATAAGCAGTATATAAGATGTTTAATTATAGAGCTGGGCAAGACTTCTTCTTCAAGATCTCCTGTAACCCAAGATGTGCAGCATTGAGTGAACGGGTACTAAATCATTATTTTCCTCCTCAAAGCTGAGCTGTGTTTACCACAGGCCGTTTCAAACCCTTGCTTTGCTCAGTGCCGAACCTCAGACAAGCAGCTGGGGAGGGATTCACCTCACCCAAAGGCAGCCGAGAGGTAAACGTGGGCAGCTGTGCAGCCTTTGGCTTTTTTTAGTCTTTAAAAAGTCCTAATATCCACTTGGTGCTTCTTTTCCTCCCAGGCTGCCGAGGGATAAGCACAGGTGTCTCTATTTCTGCTTCCAGCTGGCTGACAGTTTCAGAGCAAGCACTTGAACGATCCATAAGGTTATCAGCGATTGGAGGAAAGAGCCTTTACTGAGGTGATCCTTAATATTTATCCTGAGCCATGCAAAAGGTGCCTGGAAAGCAGTATCACTCCCATGGTTTCTTTCTCCACAGGTTTTCCCTGTTCCTGCAGACATCAGTTATCAAAAGCCTCTGAGGATGTTAGAAACATCTAGTTGATGTGACCAAGAAGTTCAGCACTTGTTTCTCCTATTTAACAGCTCTGCTTAGCATTTAATTAATCACCTTTCATTGCCTTCAGGCCACAATGATTTCCTCTTGCACTTCAGTTTACCTTAGCCAAGTGTGACTTACTCCACTGTTGATTGCCTGTAAGGCAGATGGTGCAGGAGCCTCAGAAAACCAATACCCTCACCTTGCAGCCCGAGCACAGCTCCATACATGTGCGATGGAATGGGCTCAAAGAGAGAATAAAGGTAGAACAGAAGGGTGAAGAACAGGGCTGCCCCCGAAATACCCACCCCATCTCGTGCAGCCCGAGCACAGCTCCAAACGTGCGTGATGGAGTGGGCTGGAAGGGAGAATAAAGGTAGAACAGGAGGGTGAAGAACGGGGCTGCCCCCGAAATACCCACCCCATCCTTTCTCACCTCCAGCAGTCATGCAGTACCTCTGGAAAATAAAAATATATACTGTAGACAAATAATTTTTTAAAAAAGCTAATGGGGCTCTAAACATCCACATTTGTAACCCTAAAAAAAAATGCAGCAGTTGGTAACACAAAAGCCTTTCAAATACTCAAGAATGCAAAAGAATGGTGCGTGCAGCAGAAAGGAAACAGTGCTTATTCACGCTGCACGTATTGTAGCACAATATAGCTATTCTACGAGCACTTGCACGATGGGTGGCTGGGAGGAAAAACCCTTCCTGGCAGAGCAGCATGAACATGGCATCACAATCTCGCCCTTGTCACTGGCAGAGGATCCAGAACAGACCAAACACTATGTTTTAACTTATTTTTTTTCTTCAGAAACACTTTTTTTCAGGTTTTAGGTGGCTGAGAGTCTAACACGGAGTCCAAAGAAATTTCCACAGCTAAAACTCCTTGGGGATGTGTTTATTGTCAACAATCAATCAATCAAAAAAAAAAAAAACACTATTCCATTATATATCTTCAAGTAAATAAAAGCTTGCATCCATTTAGACATGTAGAATTGAAATAACTGATACAATGCACTTTTAATGAGATACTCCATAGAATCATTTTACAACAAACATAAGGGATTTTGAACAACGCCAGCATCTTTCACAGAAAATTTCCTTCACAGTAATGGCTACAGCAATAGAGCGACTGAATGTGCTTGGGATGGATTTTTATTACCACTACGTAGACAAGAACTTTGCTTGTGCCAGAAACGGGCACACAAACCACTCGTCGCTTCTTCACACGTACCATTTCTACACTGGACATGTAATGAATTTACTGTAATATAAAATATATATATATATATAAATCAGTGCAGTTTGATAGGCTGAGGAGGCACAGTGCAGGCTGGCTTAGGAGAGCAAAGAGAGGGGAAAAAACTGATTGTGGAAATAGGAACAAGTGCAAAGGCAGAAGAGCAGCAGGAGCCAGGAAAGAAAAGCAGCAGCCTCTCAGCAGGAATGGTGATGGGAAAAATATCCACCCAGCAAGTTTAGTAAGAAGCTCAATGCAAGGAATATTTTGCAATGAACACTTCAGCCTGAGTTTAACAAAGACTTATGCAAACATAAATGTATCAAGCATGGTCTCAATCAAGAAATTTGTAATACCACCACACGGTTCTTCTGAACACAAACATCCAGTACACACAATAATGAAATTCCAGTGACTTCTTTCAGCGCCTCAATACACAGCACCACACTCGGGACACAGTCTGATCTAGGGGATGGACTAAAACTCATCAGGAGCCCAGCAGCACGTGGCACCACCCAAATAAATAACGGGCGCTTTCACAGAAAACTCAGCCTACTGAAAATCCCCACGAGATGCCAACGCAGCCCAGTCTTTATTTATAGCCTTCCATACAGAACTTGGGGAATCTTGCTTGGAACCAGCACCACAATAACTAGCTTCACTCTGATTTTCCTTGTGTCAGGAGTAGCCAGCAGTAACCAGCCTCTCTGCCCCGCTTCTGAGGTAATTTTGTGCAAATTGGAGAAAATGGTAGGGCCATGAGGTCAGCTTGGGGATCTTCCATATTCCATTGCCTAGAAAAGCCCAGTCCCACTTCTCCCCTAAGTTTCTTAACGGAAAAGGCAGAGAAATTGAATTTTGTGCACCTCCCCGTGCACCTTATCCTCCAGGAATCTCCCACAAAGCGTTCACAGATTGTTCTCCTTCCATGAGCTTCATGGCTGCTTTGGCTTCCTGAAAGATGCTGCTAATTCACTCTCCAATCGAGGACTGCACATGGCAGCTGAAGAAAAGTTTCTCGGACAAAATACATTCTCACTAAGGCAACTGTGCGGGAAGTGGTTCCTCGTTTATTTGCCGGCAGTTTTTGGCCACCACTCGGGTATAGTTGCAGTGAGTTTCACTTTTCCACCCGGCGCATTGAGGTAAAGCGGTTCCTTTATATTAGCCAGCCTCAGCAAAGCTATTCCAAGTTCAGCATCTCCAGCCCGGAACTTGCCAGCTGATTTTCCCGATTCCGTTAAGATCTCGGCGCCCTCGGGAATACTTTCCGAGGGAAGAGGGGTGGAAAACTGAATCGGCAACAGACGTTTGCGAATGACGCCCATGTGGTGTGTCCGGGCTGTTAACTCCTGACCGATGTAGCAGCCTTTGGTAAAGCTGATACCGTTCATGTAGGCCAGGTTTGATTCCAGCGGGAGGGCTACGCCGGGAGGGAGATCTTGCACACCTTCAGGAATTCCTGGGAAAAGAACAAAACCACCAGGAAAATATGGCAAGATATTCAATACTTTAGCTTTCAAGAGTATGTCTCCTCTGCGTGTTAGGAAACCAAGACAGCCTGTAAGCGAGAATCAAAAATATGAAATAAAGGGTTTTCCAGTACTCCCGTTTAGGCCTAAGTGGAATCACCAGTCATAAACAATCAGGGTTAGCAAAATTATTTTTGAAGGTAAACAGAAAACTGCACTAAAACCTATCTTCATGAGGCTTTAAGCACTTCATAAGCATACAAGGGGAAATTGAAAGCACCCAGAACTACCTGGACTCGGATATAAGGGCATCATCATAAACTTCATACCAACAGCAATATTCTCATTGCATCCTCTACTCACATTTTAATGTCAGCAAGAGTTATTTTATTCAAGAGTAACAAACATAAGTTGGCCAATTACAAATGTTGCTGTAACTGCTTCTGTAATAATAAACAATAGTAAGTTTTACCTTTTATCCTAAATTTTAGAGATAGGAAATGTTTAAACCCCTCTCACAATGCAGTTTTGTCCATCTTTACTTTTCAACCATCACTTCTTCATCCCCATTCCTTGAACACTTAAAAAGCCCTCCAATATCTGGCATTTTCTTCCTATACAGATGGTTGCCAACTCCTCATCTAATCTTTTTTTTCATAAAAATCCTTATCAAGGTTCTCACCTTGCCCACTCTCTGCAGTCGCTCATCCTAGATGATTATCTAGGACATAATCTATGAGATTATCTATGATTATCAATGAGATCCAGTTGTAACTATTGGGTGAATCCTGCCTCAAAACAGGCAGAAATCCCTGAACTTGTGAACACATTTACAAAGGGACTTCTACAAAGTCTCCCGTTGTTTTATATCAAGGTGTGGGTTCTTGATAACATCTTTTCCCCCAGAAAAACCGCAGCAACACGGCGTTTAAACGGGCCTGTCTTTACCTTGCTTATACCTGTGCCTGTGGTAGTCCCGGACGTCCCCAAGGCGGCCTTCAGCGACGACCTGCAGCGGATCCGCCTCGCTGGGCAGCAGCAGCCT